ATCAAAATTCCAATGGTATTTTTATCAGAAATAGAACGATCTTAAAATTTGTAAGGAACCGGGGTGCTTGGGTGGCTCAGTTGGTTAAGTGTCTGCCTTTGGCTCAGGTCATCCCAGGGTCCTGGGATCTAGCCCCAAGTCGAGCTCCCTGCTCAGTGGAGAGTCTGCTTCTCCTGCCCCTCCCCGCCACTTGTGGGCTCATGTGCTCTCTCTCTATCAAATAAACAAATAAAATCTTAAAAAAAAAAAAATCTGTATGGAACCATAAAAGATCCCAGATAGCCAAAGCAACCTTGAGGAAAAAAAAACAAAACAAACCAAAGCTAGAGGCATTAGACTTTTGATTTCAAGGTATATTACAAAGCTATGATAAACAAAACAGTACAGTGTTGGCATAAAAAGAGACACACAGATCAATGGAATAGAACAAAGAGCCCAGAAATAAACCCATACATATATGGTCAATTAATTTCCAACAAAGGAGCTAAGAATACACATGGAGAAAGAATAGTCTCTTTAATAAATAGTGCTGGGAAAACTGGACAGCCACATGTGAAAGAAAGAAACTGGACCACTAGCTTACACCACAGATATAATTAACTCAAAATGGATTAAAGGCTTAAATGTAAGACCTGAAACCATAAAACATCTAAAAGGAAACACAGGCAGTAAGTTCCTTGTCATCACTCTTGGCAATGAGTTTTTGGATTTGACACCAGAAGCAAAGGCAACAAAAGCAAAAATAAACAAGTGGGATGACATCAAACTCCAAAGCTTCTGTACAGCAAAGGAAACCATCAACAGAGTGAAAAACAGCCTACAGAATGAAGGAAAATATCTACAAATCATATATCTGATGAAGGGCTAATATCCAAAATATGCAAAGAACTCATACAACTCAACAGCAAAAACACAAACAAAAAATGGGCAGAGGATCTGAACAGACACTTTTCCAAAGAAGACATCCAAACACCCAAGAGGTACACGGAAAGGTGCTCAACATCACTAATCATTGGGGAAATGCAAATCAAAACCACAATGAGATACCACCTCACACCTGTTAGAATGGCTATTAGCAAAAATACAACTGATAACAAGTATTGGCACATATGTGGAGAAAAGGAAGCACTTTCCCACTCTTGATGGAAAGGTAGGTTGGTGAAGCCACTACTGAAAACAGGATGGAGGTTCCTCAAAATATTAAAAATAGAACTACCAGATGATCTGACAATTCCACTTCTAGGTATACACCCAAAGGAAATGAAAATGGGACCTCGAAGAGATATCTGCACCCCCATGTTCACTGTAGCATTATTCACAATAGCCAAGATATGGGAACACCCTAAGTGTCGGTCCAGGAATGGATGGATGAAGATGTGGTATATACGTACAACAGAATGTTGTTCAGCTGTGAGAAGAAAGAAAATCCTGCCATTCTTGACAACACAGATGAACCTCGAGGCATTATGTTAAGCGAAATAAGCCAGCCAGAGAAAGACAAATAATGCGTGGCATCACTCATATGTGGAATCGTAAAAAAAAAAAGTCAAACTCGTAGAAACAGAGTAGCAAAGGGGTTGCCAGGGGCTTAAGGTGGAGGAAACAGGCAGAGGTTGATAAAAGGGTACAACTTTCAGCTGTAAGATGAATAAGGCCCGAGGATCTAATGTATAACACAGTGACTACAGTTGATAACACTGCATTACTTAATTGAAATTTGCTACGAGGAGGAAATTTAAATGTTCTCACACACACACATGAAGATAAATATGTGAGGTGAGGAATGTGTTAACTAGATGGTCAGGATTCTTTCATGGTGTATGTGATGTATCAAATCACCACAATGTACACTTTCAGTCACTTACAATTTTGTCAATCATACCTCCATGAAGCTAAAAAAAGCAAAGATGGAAACGACGTTACAGGATCGCTACTAACATTTGCTCTCCAATACTCATATCAGCAACTGACAGTTTGTGGAATCCATGGCCTCCTTTCTCTCCCTTCACTCATGAGTCTTATCACCTAAGCCATGGTCTTTCCTCCTCCCCTGTTACACCAACATCCTTCTACCCCTTGGGCTTCTGTCCTGAAAATGTCTCCAAGTAGTTTTTCAAAAAATAAGAAATTTTCAGCACAGTGTACAAGGCCCTTCACATCTTCCATCCCCAGTAAACATCAGGCAGCCTCCAATGACAGTGAACTAGAGTCAATTTTCAATGATACATGGGAAGAATTAAGTGCAGGCTCTACAATCATTACCAGTGCCAGTGTAAATGGAAGGGCTTTGCTACCATGCTTCTCCCACGATCCCCACTCCCCACAGCAGGCAGGGTCAGGGCTAAGGAGTTCCCAAGACTGCTCTTCAACTTCAAAGTCGGGGAGGCTCCAGGGAAGACAAGAATACAGGGCAGCGAAGCATACCACCTGGAAACAGGGGCTTGGGACCCCACTCAGGCCCCTCTGAGATGTAGCTGGGACACTCCACCCTCCTCAAACTGCTCCCCACAGCCCAGGTTTAGGTACAGGTCTCAGCTGGGACAGGGCAAACTTTGAGTCCTAATAACTGGGAAATGCATCAGAGGCTGACATCCCACTCACCACTTTACCAGGCTAGCGCGGCCTCCATTTCTTTCCAAAATATGCCCTTGGATAAAGTCACTTTTCCTGCTGGCGCGTGAAAGACCACTGACCAAAGAGCATGCTGGGTCCCCACTCATTATTGCTTAAATGATCTGGAGACTCTAAGAGCCATTACCCAGCGAATCCACCCAGCCTGTCCTTACCAAAGGGACCCACTATGCCTCTGCACACACATGCCCTCATTCTCTAAAATTCACTCCAAACACAGCTTCCCGTGGCTTTTCCAGACTCCTTTTGGAGGGGCAGTCCACTCTGCCTTGGGCACCAGGGACTCACTATAAGAACTTCAACCAGAGCGGTCAGGGTCCTGCCCCCATCCCACAAGAGCAAGAGAAACGCTGTCTAGAGCTTATTTTATCTATTTTTGTAGCTGCTAAAACACAGTGCTAAAACTGTAAGAAAAAGTAGTCTAGAATCCAGTTGGTGCCCACAATATCTATTATATGAATGGATACATCTAATGATTTTCCCACTGGACATTTATCTAAACCACAGAAGTAATTTTTAAGAAGTTACAGGGTTTTGGCCATGGATGTCATGAGCTTATAAAAATTAATTCTTTAAAATAATATGGGTATGGATATTTTTTAAGTATCTTTTCATGGTTATGAATGGTTCTCTACCTAATTGTACCCAGGAATCAGCCATTTGCCCAACAGTCACTGACAGCTGCCAGGCACTCGTGCAGAATACCCTGCTGGGAGTGAGCATGTTACTACCCTGCCTACCACTCTCTGCGAAAGAGAAAGTTTCAGAATAACTGAAATGATTAAGTGTGTTAATATCATTAAGTGTCAGATGCTGATACTGATGAATTACTGATGAATTCTGATAATCAGATTTGAGGATTTGTGCTTATTTTTCTCTTATTGCCATGAAATACATGACTGCATTTATAAAATACTAAGTCTTAAAAGGTTCCACTTCAATGACTATTAAAAAAAAAATGATCTGCAACGGGTAAGAGCTTTCCTGTGTAATGGAAATCTCCTAGGACTGGATGTCTAATACCCCAATGGTGTTTATCTTATATCATGTCCGCAAGAGAAACTTGGGAGTGCCCCATCAATGCATGAGGGGGTGTAAGGCTAGAAAGAGACAGATCCAGGGAGCAAGGTCAGAATAACTTTGAGCATAGCGGGAGGAAGGAAGGAGGGCGTAGAATCAGGCTGCACAATATGACCTCCAAGCTTTCGATTCCAAACCAGGATGTAGATCTGGAAATCACAACACTCTAAATAAATGAGATGTGTCATTTCCACCAAATGAAACCATAAAGGATAATAAGGTGAAGACACCCAGACACTTAATCCTACCCTTATGAAATACTACATATTATTTCTGTGCTGTTTTGGTTACCACACATCAATAAGGAACATAAGTGAAATTAAGAAGCCTCCAAAAAAGAAAAAAAAAAAAAAGTGGTCAAGGGGGGAAAAAAAACTCACTCACAAGAAGTTTAGTAGTAGTTTTAGGCCAAATGAAAGACAATTCTAATTTATATTAAACCAATAAACTTACAGATATCACACCAAGAGGTTTTATAGTCCAAAGCTATAGATCCAAGAATAGTTTAAAACAATTTGTGAATAACACAGGCAAAATAAGGTTCTGAAGGAAAGCTAATGAATTCGGTGCTCTCCCTACTGGGGATGAAACTGTACCTTCTCATAAAGCACTCCTTATTGCCTGGCCAGAGACACACCACCAGATTAATCAGACTATCAAACCACAACTCATATATTTAAATCAAACATCCCAAACGATTTTTTAGGGTTGAGAAATATCTCTGTTATACAGACACATGTTTTTGTCCAGTACCTGTTATTATAGGACCCCTGGATCTCCGAGCCCACATGCTGTATTACCGGTACAATTTTAACACACATGAGCAGATTTCTCATACAAACAAGCACAACATTCCCCAGAATCCTTTATCTGTTGGCATATTTTCATGTAGACTTATCTTCCCAAGACCAAAGTCGGAAGGAACCTTTACAAGACTAAAAGTAGCCTAAAGGCAATTCTTGTTTATCTCATGCTCCCAAAGCAGGGCACAAAAGGCCTGGCTCAAGACCACCTACTGGGCTGCAGAGCTGGAGTATCAGGGCATTTTACAAGTGGGGGACACCCACCATTCTGCTTTCTAGCCACTCCGTGCCATCATGTGCTGATGCAGGAACAGCAATCTAATTTTTGAACCAGCGCCCTTGAAACCTTCAATTGGATGTGGCTCAACACTTCGGGGCCACACTTACTGCCACTTAATTCATGTAAAACCTACTCTGCAAATCAAGCATTTGAGGCAAAAGCACCAATTTCTCGCATTTGTTTTAAGCAGGGCACTGCAGACTTACCTTTGGCACTCAGTTGTAAGAGATGACTGGCAAAATGCAGAACTCCTCAAAAGGTGAAGTTCTCAGCTGGTCACACGCCTGAAGTTACAAAGCTGCAGGAATTCTCCAAATTCTTGAATCCAACCCAAATCTCAGCAGAAAATTATGATCTGGGCAATCACTTGTATAAAAGGAACATAGGAAATCTGAAGGGAAACAGAAAAAAAACAACATATATTACAACTGCCTGCTTATAAGTAACTGCATGATTATTTATTTGCATGAAACCAGTATTTTTAATACACCCTGGAAACAAGTTGCTTTGTACCTACTGACCTCTACCCAAACAAAATTGTTCTCCTCCTCTACCTTCAGCTCACTGTTATCAGCTCTCAGGCAGTCAGGTACCTCTGTGGAGGGAAGAGATGGGGAAGGTAGGGACAGGTGGCCACCAACAAGATTCTTCCAGCCCTCCTCTCTACAACTTCTCCCCACACCCTTCAAAGCCTGCCAAAAACAAAAGAAAGGTGTGCCAAGTGTAAAGGAAGCAAGTCTGAGAGCCTAATTAAAGGGAGAAGGGTTGCAGAGAGCATGGATATTTAAATTTAGACACTCGTTCCTCTTTTGGAGATCTCCTGCACTGGCCATTTATTGAGAGAGGCCCCCTACTGGACCCACTGCCTTGTGCTAAAAACATCCCTGCAGGAAATCTGAGAATAATATCCTGAAACTACAAGGAAGTTGAGACAAGAAAAGCCTGACAGAGGTGATGGGTAGCCTCTCCCTCCTGCTCCTGGAGAGTTTGCTGCTGCCGTATGTTCTCTGCACTCGGGTGGCTATTGTCAGTCCTTGCCGGCATTGGTGAGGGGTCCCTGAAGCTCTGTGGACCTCCAAGAGAGTTCACTGACATTTTTAATTACATTTCAAACCCAGAGGGGATCTGTCCTGACAGTTCACTCAGAGAAGATCTATTAATTCATCCCTAGCATGATTATGACCCAAAACGTTAAATACCCCATAGAAAAATCAAATTCTATTTTAGCCAAATAGAAAAAGATAATTCAAGTAGGACTTTCATAAAAGTGTTATACAGCAAGTTCATAAATTTTGATTAAAAAATTAATTCCTCTTTGTGCATTCTCTAGCATTATTTTAAAGGCTGCATGACTTTTTTTCAAGATTTATTTATTTGAGAGAGAGAGAGCAGGGGAAGGAGGAGGGGCAGAGCGAGAGGGAGAGAGAGTCTCAAGCAGCATCTGCGCTGACTGTGGAGCCCAATGTGGGGCTCGAGCTCACGACCCCGGGATCCAGACCTGAGCCAAAACCAAGAGTCAGATGCTTAAGCAACTGAGCCACCCAGGAGCCCCAAAGGCTGTGTGACTTTTAAAAATTACACGATTTAATGCAGGGAAAAGGTGATGCCCGAACACAATAGGAATACTAGACTGGGGCAAGACAGTAAATGTGTACCTGGACAATTACACCCTTCCCTCTGCTGAATGTTTACAATAAAATGACAGGGTTTCCAAAAATAGAAGTTTTGGTATCTGGACTCAGGTCCTGACCAAGTGTTCTATTTCACTTTACTGTGCTTACCGAAGAAAGCCACCAACTAAACACAGTCATGCCCAAAAAATTCACCTCCATATTAGTATTTTCAGGAGTATAAGCTGGATTTTTAAAATTTTAATTGAAAAGTGAATCTGCCTGGAGTCAGATCCCCTGGGCTGTTGTGAGGGGGGCGTCTGGCAGCTAGTAAAGCTGTCTGCACATGGGCCTCCCTCTGGACGCACCGTGCTCTCACCAGTGAGGTTTTTTAATTCTCTCAACAACCTTCCACGATAGCTATTAACACCCTCTTTTTCACATGAGTTAACTTTCTCGGGGAGGTGAAGGGTTTTCCTTAACAGCCTTCAGTGAGGAACACAGGCCTCCAAAGCTCTAGACCCACCACAGCAATGGCAAGCCTGGTGCCGCAGCAGACTTATTTACCAGCCCATAGCTGAAGAACAATGGGCTGGATCTGGAAGCCCAGTCCTTTGATACTCAGTGTCTTGCGCAAGGTGGAAAAGCCAGATGGAATAGAGCAGAATCTGAACTCATGGAGGAGCTCCAATCAAAGTGACACCATTTCAAGTTCGTTTAAAGGTGCCCATAGCTATCTGGGATTCAAGATGGCAGCATTTTCTTGGAGAAAAGCATTTCATGGACGAACCGTCGTCCATGCACTCAGCATACAACTCAAATGGAAATAAACAGAGGGATCAACCTTGTGTCACCCTGGGTTTCAAGGTAGCCTGCCCACTGCCTATGTCTAACGTGGTGGTTATTAGCATATTCAAAACCTCTGTTAAGGACAAACATTTCAAATCAGATCTTAAGTACAAAGATCTAAACCCATCAGGAAAGCAGACACTCTTGTGCAAAAACCACCACAGACTGCAAACACTACCAGGTACACGGTCAGTTGGAGTGCAAAAGGCTCTCACCCAAGAAAGAATTCACTCAAGGATGGTCTACGCAGTGCACTTCAGGCAGATGGGGCTATATGAAACGGGTCTATGTTTTCCTTTGAAAGTATTTCTCCACTAGCTCCCTGTGCATCTCCCCTTAGAAACACAAGAAGAAGAGGTAGGACTAGAAAGGAATTAACACTAATACCAAATATATCTCCCTCTCTGCATTATTTTGGACCCCTAATAACACAAAATTTTATCATTGTGAAATCCACAGGATTATCTGAATTCTCTGTAACACTGATGTTTTCTTTTTTCTCAACTATGTTTTGAAAAACCCGAGCCACAACTTGGGGCTTCTCCCCGGTCTTATGGGGGGCAGCTGGCTGTAGCACTTGCTTCCGCTGTGAGGGCATGCTCTGGGCTTGTGTGCCTCAGTGCCTCGATCTGCAACTCTGGGAGCACTGCCCTTCCTGGAGCCAGAGCCTGGCACCGAGATGCCCCCGTGTGGCTATCTTAGTCTCACTTAAACTTCCAGTGCCTGCTGCAGCACCAGACACGTCTTCTGGATGGTCCCAGGCAGTTCCTTCACACCTGCACGGAGGTCCAGGGGTTATGTCCATCACGAATGCACTTCACTCCAGAAGAGTCACTAAGGGTTAATAAGAGGTTATGTGCCCCGTTCCGCTGATGGTGATGTGCTGGATACAACAGCTCTACCTGTTTACAGGTGGCCAAAGTTCCCGGCCAACTCAAATCTCCCAAAGCCTCAGACTGAGTGCTCAGGTGATACCACCTCGCCTCCTTGATTCACAGAACTAAGTAACATAAAAGGCAGGGAGGAGAAGGGTTTGTACTGGTCCCAGTAAGACACGGCACTGGTACTCCACCCTCACAGCAACCCTGGGAAATAAATCTTATCATTCAGCTCAGGAACTAAACCACCAGATGCCCCCCAGCCGGAATCTGAAGCTACCCTGGGGTCTGATTTCAAAGCCCAGCCTCGCTCTTTCTTCTCAAAAAAGATCACCACTAGCAGGCAGAGCCTGGAGACTCAGGCGAAGATTGTCTGCCGTTGCCCTCTGTCGGGAGTCTCTGCTACCCCGGGAGGCTGGCTTCAGCCTCTCAAAGCGGGTAGGGACAGCACAATGCTGTAGCAAATTAGCCAGCCCATGAAGGTACATACCACTTTATTTTCAAAGGAACTGTTTCTCTTAGATGTTAATGCAGCAAACAGAGAATTACTGAAAGCCACAATCTGACTGGGTTGGGTACGGCACACAACGTAAAGACTCACAGGCCCCGCTCAGGTGGGCATCATAACCAAAACTTACATATGCCAAACACACCAAGAGAACCCCACAGACCCCTAATCTGTAGACAGCGAGAAAGGCAATTATCTTTTTTCTTTTATTTAAAAAAGGGGCGATCACGTGACTACCATAGGCCTCTGGGCTCACGAATGCCACAGCCTCATCTTGTCCTTTCTTCCCCTCCTCGCCCTTCCCATGTGAGACCCCTCTTCAGAGCACATAGGCCCCGCAGTGGCCTAAGGGACATCCAGCTCAGAACGAATATGGAGGGTCACCGCCTGACCAGAACAACGTGGGGCCAGGCCGTCTTGTTGACTTCTGGCAGAACAAGCTATATTTCATTCCTACCAAACTACTTGGCGGAAAACTTTATTCCGGTGGAAAGGTGCTCATTTCAGACACTGAACAAAGCTACACAAAAGTCTCCTTGAACGGCCTGGCTAAAACTCAAGCCTGGTTTCTCCCCTCATGCATGGTGGTTCCCAGTCAGGGCCCAGAGGGTACCAAAGGCCATAAGCTAGTTTCCAAAATTTCAAAAAGTCCCATGAAATTAGGATTTTTACTCAAGATAAAGCAGTCCTAAGCAGGACAGATACCAAGTTTTTCTGCACTGGGCTAGATTTACATCAGTTCTAAATGATAAAGCTGGTTCTCAATTGATTCTGTTGATTAGAAGTTCGTTAATGAAAATGGAAAAAAAAAAGTACTAATTTCTAACTCTCCGAACAGCTTCCAAGAGGCATCACACGTGGCTAAGGCGGGTGTCCGGGCAGGAGGGTAAATGGTCAGATTTTCAGCTCTGAGGTTTCTAGGTTCTAAAATAACAGAGATTTCTGCCTTCCAGGACTGAGAAAAAGAGCAAAACTGCAGGCAGTGGGGTCAACCACATATAAACAGGCCAGAGAAAGTGGCAAGAGACCATGGGACAGGAGCATGAGGGTTCCAGGCTCGGCTCAGCAAGCCCAGTGCCCTGTATCGTATGACTCTGCCTGTTTCCTCCACCAGAACCAGGGTCCCTCAGTTCTGATTCAGCAGCTTTGACATGCAAATGGATTTAATAATTATCAAAAATTGATGACGCGGTACCAAAAAAATTATTAAAGCTTATCTAAAATACCGTGACAAAAAGTCATAATGAAAATCTTAATATGAATTTAAATATTACAGTCCGCTGCTGAAAAATTAACAGATAGGAATTTGATTAGTAACACCATTTCCAATGGTTTATAAAGATTTTGTTTATACATTTGATGGTAGCCTCTTCAATACAATATTCCATTCTCCAAAAGGTCTGATAAGGTGTTACTCTTAAGATCTTCCCACTAGTCCAAATCAGTTTTCAGAAACAGCAT